GGAAATACAATTTAGCCCCTAACACCACCAAAATTATACTTCACTAATAGATGCAAAATTATGGTTTAGTCTGCCAGTTTTATTGGTACTAGGTGTTAAAGGAGGTTTTGATTTGATTCATTTCTAAAGGATATAACTGCTTGGTTAAGTACATTATTATTGTTGTTGTATTGTTTATGTTAGTGTTAGGGATCAAATTCAGACATTCAGGATGAGTACTCTACAACCAAAATTCACCCAGGCTTCCCTCTCTGAAACTGGAAAATTAATTTTCTGCCCAAAGGTGATACGAAAACTCCATTCCTCAATGCTAAATAATAAACACAATCTGGTACTTCAATATTCTGTTTTCCTTGCTTGCCAACTCCTTATAACCTACTAACACTAACAAATACAGTTTGGAAGTTAATGTAATACACAAGATAGTTTCTAATCATAGTTTTCTTCCTATATCACCCACTTCCTCCTCTGCAGTGTATCTACAATTAAATAAGTATAAATCTCAATGGCTCAGAGCTGTGGAGACATAGCAGCAGCTACTAATCAATGTGACATTTACCACATTCTCAACATTAAATCAGAAAAGAAAAACCCAGAATTCACTTCACTGTGACTTAGCACATAGACATAACTTGACCAAGTACAATTTGGATGCTCAACAGCTCTCAGAACTATTAAGTTAAAAGATATTAGCATCAGTAGTTATATCTTTAAATTAATCTCATGTTACCTTGATTCATTCCTTGGGAGGGTATGAAAACACATGTGCTTTTTACTTTTCTTCTATTTTTTCTGAGACTGGTAAACTTCAGTAATGGTTTTATTTGGAATTTAATTTATAATTGTTGTTGGTAGGCTTTATGCCACAATAACTCACACCTAGAGAGCAATTACAACATATTCATTCAGAAAACCCATTAAGTTATAAATCCATAAAGAAGACCCTCAGAAAATGGTTTTAACCAAATTTGATTCATTTTCACACCAGAAAATTCCTATAGTTTTGGTATCGGTATGAATCATTTTCTCTTTAAGCATTGAGCCAAAGATTTCCAGAAAATGCTAATTAATCAATAATTCTCCTATGTGAGTAAATTAGAAAAAAAACCCACTACTCAAGCAAACCATCTTTAAGATCAAAAGGAATCTTGAGATACTAGACTAGGACCAGGAACTTCATATCATCATTCAATGGTTCTAGAACTTCAGCAAATACTTAAAAGGCTAATTGAAAAACAAATTCTTGGCACCTAACCCCATAGTTTTGGATTCCTTAAGTTGGAAAAGGGCTTAAAAATTTGCATTTCTAACAAGTTCTCAAATGATACTTATACTGTTAGTCCAAGGAATCACTGATGGTCACTGATCTCTTTATATATTTTTTTTTTGGTCTAAAGATATATGTCAGCTTAGGACTATTTTTTTGTTGTTTTCAGTACTGAAGATTGAATCCAGGGCCTTGTGTGCACATGCTCTATCATTTGAGCCTGTCCTGCCAAGTTGTGTTACTTTTTGAAATCTGGGCTTGCTAAATTTACCTGTTCTGGCCTTGAACCCATAACCCTCCCACTTCTGCCTCTGAAGTAGATGGGATTATAGGTGTGAACCACCAAGCTAGGACTATTGTATTCTGCAATGAAAACTTTTCTGGCCAATTTATTAACTACTTCAATAGTAGACAAGAACTTATCATATGAAATATCCAGGCTCTGTACATACACAGAAACATAATTGTGACACTTCTTAACCACTTCCACCACACTGCTTCCGCAATTAATAGATAAGAATGTATTTGTGAGCCGGGCGCTGGTGGCTCACGCCTGTAATCCTAGCTACTCAGGAGGCTGAGATCTGAGGATCGAGGTTCAAAGCCAGCCTGGGCAGGAGAGACCGTGAGACTCCTATCTCCAATAAACCACCAGAAAACCAGAAGTGGCGCTGTAGCTCAAGTGGTAGAGCGCTCGCCTTGAGCTGAAGAGCTGAGACAGCGCCCAGGCCCAGAGTTCAAGCCCCACGACCGACAAAAAAAAAAAGAATGTATTTGTGCTCATTGATCCATCAAGAACAAGGACAAGGCTGAGGCATGTGACTCACATGATAGAACACCTGCCTAGCAAGCATGGGGTCCTGAGTTCAAACACCAGTGAAATAAATAAATAGCAACTGGGTGATTTAGGTGGCCAAGGGAATCAAATATCTAGAAAAACTCTTTTGCTATGCAGTAAATTTTGTTCTTTTGATCTGGAAACCAATTCAATAATGGTGAATGACTCATTTACATGGCTGTAAACCTAACCTATCTGTTAAATAATCCATTCTCAATGTGCCTAGACGACATTAAGGAGGACATGAACTATCAATCTCAAGAATCGTATGTCAATAAAATATACCCCAAATATGCTTCATTTAAAATAAATTATTAGTCAGGTATGGTAGTACACATTTATAATCTTAGCATCTGGGAGGTTGAAGTAGATGGAGTACAAATTCAAAGATCAGCCTGGGCAACATAGCAAGATCCCACCTTAAAAAAAGAGAAAGATAAAAGAAAGAGAGAAAAGGGAAGGAGGGAGGAGAGAAGGAAGAGCATAGAACAGGAACTTGGAAAACATCAACTCTCTCTCTCTCTCTCTCCTCTCTCTCCCTTTATCTCTTCCTTTCTCTCTCTCTCTCTTTCTCCTCTCTCCCTTCTCCCCTGACAGATTCCTCTGCATTCTGGAGGAACCTGACCACCCAACAACTGTTAAATTTATATTTGAAGGGTGACAGAATATGCAATCCCAAACTACACTATATTTGGCATTAGGTTTACTTGAAAAACAGAAGATACAAGAGGTATATCCTAATTCTTCTTCAAAATAGAAAACAGAAACTCCCATCTGAGAGATGCTTGCCCTACATAGGAAAAGGGAAAAGCATTAATCAATGAGGAATTCTGAGCTGAGAGAATTCTGTGCAAAGACACATTGTTAAAATCATTTCTAGCTGGGCACCTGTGGCTCACGCCTGTAATCCTAGTTACTCAGGAGGCTGAGATCTGAAGATCACGGTTCAAAGCCAGCCTGGGCAGGAAAGTCCTTGAGATTCTTATCTCCAGTTAGTCACTAGAAAACCCAAGGTAGCGCTGTGGCTCAAGTGGTAGAGTGCTCACCTTGAGCTGAAGAGCTGAGTGAGGGACAGCACCCAGGCTCAGAGTTAAAGCCCCATGACCAACAAAAGAAAAAAATCTGCCTTCCTTTTAGCCTCCCCACATAGATTAGTAACTTTTCCATAATAGCCTCATCTTGTTCAACTGAATATAAAAGCATATACAATTTTCTACTTCTTAAGGTCTTCATTACCTTCATTACCATGTTACATAAAAGATACATTAGAGTTTTATGCTTTTCTCCTGTTAGTCTATCTTATACCAATTTAATTTGCAGGCCAAATTGAAGATACAGTTGTACTTCTTACCCTTGACATTCACAAGCCCAGCTCCATTCAGAGATCAACTTGACATTGCTGAATCCTACTTCTGGATTTCTGATGAAGAAAATTTGAATGTTCTTGCTTGAGTTAGGTATAATCATATACAGCTATGGAAATGAGGGCATGCCGTATCCATCGGCCAGCTCTGTGCTAGCATTATGTATTCCATCTCCCAAAATGAGTAGCAGATCAAGAATGCAATGTGTCCAACTTTTCAAACTGGTAAAATTGGCACCAGTGGCTAATGCTTGTATAGCTAATGCTTGTGGCTAATGCCACTTACGAGACTAAGATTTGAGGATTCTGATTTGAAGCAAGCTCATGTTTTCCACGAGATTCTTACCTCCAACTAACCATGAAAAAGTTAGAAGTGGAGCTGTGGCTCAAGTGGTAGAATACTAGCCTTGAGTGAAAAATTTAAGGGACAACACCACAGCCCTGAGTTCAAGCCCCAGTTCTCATTCTCTCTCTTTCTCTCTCTCTCCTGTCTCTCTCTGTCTCTCTTGTCTCTCTGTCTCTGTCTCTGTCTCTGTCTCTCTCTCTCTCTCTCTCTCTCACACACACACACACACATATACACACCACTCAGAAATATACATGGATGATGAGGCTGAGGGAAAATAGCTACGACACATTAGTGGTGAGAGTGAAAAAGAGCATAAGCCCCACATCAACACTACCAAACCAATGGATATATTTGCTTTCTAGTCTGAGGATCCCCCTGCAAGGAGACTGAAAGCCAAAAGAGATGGAGAGTAATGGCTTGAAAGCACAGGCGCCTTCAGTCTTTATACTTTAACACACACACACACACACACAGAGGATATTTTAAATATCAAAAGACCAACAAACACCCAGGATCTTCATTCTTCATACTTCAATAATTAAACATAGTCAATCTTGGAACATACCTACTTTTTACATGTTATATACTATAGGAAAACTTGATTCAATTTTTAGAATTACTGATTTACAGGCAACAATTCACTTTAGGACCACTGCTAATTCATATTGTGAAAGAAAGTCTACCCTACCTAGTTCTGATGTTAACCCAGCAGGAGATTGCTCCAAAAATATCTAGTCCCACTGGTGTCACATCTTTCTCTCTCTCTGCACCATAGCCTTTAAGTAGTAACCACATGGCATTGAAACATTTTGCTGCCAGTATCATTCATGTACATGGACTGAATCCTTGGGAGGAAAAAAACAAATGAATAACATGGTTTAAAATCATCGTTTGAGCTGGGTACTGATGGCTCATGCCTGTAGTCCTAACTACTCAGGAGGCTGAGATCAGAGGATTATGATTCGAAGCCAGTCTGGGCAGAAATGTCCATGAGACTCTTATCTACAATAAACTACTTAGAAAAAGCCAGAAGTGGCACTGTGGCTCACATGGTAGAGCACTAGCCTTGAGCACAAAGAGGCTCAGTGACAGTGCCCAGGCCATAAGTTCAAGCCCCAGGACTGATAGAAATAAATAAATAATCATTTGTCCTTTTTTGTTGTTTTTGCTATTATTTCTGCAGTTCATTTCTCCACACACTGCAGACTTGAAAAGTGAAGCATTTGAGGAACTTCTTAAGCACCTTTGCCACTATGCAGATGAATTTCGAGAGGTCATAAAAACTGACATGAGGAGACAGATGTTTGTTGAACTCTTTTTGTATTGTGACCATGGGAAGGTGGGTTTAAATCCTTAAAGTACTGCTTCTAACAGTTTGTGGCCAAGAACCAGTTTTTAGATGATTGTTGTTCATGATAGTATTTTAAATTTCCAGTATATCATAGATTGATAATAAGTGAAAATGGATTAGTAGTGGTGGGAAGATATACAAATTATATTTTTAAATTATCAGATGCAAATTTGGTTTCTTATCAGTTAATTTCTCCAATTGCTATAAAATTTTCTAGATGCTATCCTCAGCATTTGGATCTCTCTCCTTACATACTAGCAGATTCTACCTTGAGTGGTACTACATTTCAGGATTGATTGTTTCTCAACATATGTCTTCCCAATTGTTAAGACTATTTTTGTCTTTTTCTCTTTTGCTAGTGGCTGCCTGCAGAAAAAAGCATCTAGGAATTAAAGGTCTATCATTTTTATTATGTTGAAAACTTATGTAAAAAAGTCTTTCTAAGAATGAGGTTGAGGAGGACACATGGACCAGGACATCAAACAGACTTGCAAAAATAGATATAGATTTTACTGAAATATATTTGTTATATTTATTTGTACCCTCATGTTCTGGGAAAGATTTCAGAATAGGTAAAGTGCAGGAGAAAATACAGGATACTAAATGGAGCTGGAGTTTAGTCATAATGATCGAAATATTTGTTGTGGGTCATCTACAAGTTTGAAACTGATCTTCTTGACACTGAATGTGAAAAAAGAAACATAAACACATAGTCAACATCATATGTATGTATATGTATATACATGGTTATATATATGTGTGAATACGAGTGTATATACTTTTTGCAGTTGATTTTCAACAAAAAATACTTCAATGAGGAAAGGAAAGCTGATTCAACAAATGGTACTAGATAAACTGGCTATCCAAATGTGATGGGGGAACATTAAACATTAGGCCTTACCTCAACCATACACAAAAATAAACTTGAAAGAGATCACAAACTTCTAGAAAACATAAACCTTGAAAGAAAATCTGATAAAATAGATATCACCAAATTAAGGGATTGTGCTCTTTGAAACATATGATTAAGAAAAATGAAAAGACAGCTGGACACTAGTGGCTCACTTGTGATCCTAACAATTTGGGAAGTTGAGATAGGGAGATAGGAGAACTGGGTTTTGGGCTAGCCTGAGCAGAAAGTGTAAAAGACTATTTCAACAGAAAGAAGCTGGATTTGGTGGCATGCACCTGTCATTCTGACTATGGGAAGCACAAAGCAGGACTGAAGTTCAGGTGTGCCCATGAAAGAAGTGAGATCTTATCTCAAAAAAATAAAATAAAGTAAAATAAGACTGGAGCTCAGAACTAGAGTTCTGGCTAGCAAGAACAATCTCTTGAGTTCAAATCAAACCAAAACAACAAACCAAACAAACAAAAAACACCCAAAGCAAAAAACCAAACCAGAAAAACCCCAAAGCAAACACACAAACACACAAATACACTAAAGATCTGTTCATTTTATTTCTTTATTACCTATTTTAACTTATAGTACAAAAAACATCAGATTTCATTGTGACATTTCATAGTTGCATAACATGTAGTCCAATCATATTCAGCCCCATACCACTCCTGAACCTAGGAGCTTTACCATCTTTAAAAACATCTAGATTAGCTGGGCGCCAGTGGTGCATGCCTGTAATTCTAGCAACTCAGGAGGCTGAGATTTGAGGATCACAGTTCAAAGCTAACCTGGGCAGGAAAGTCTGTGAGACTCTTATCTCCAATTAACCACCGGAAGTGGTGCTGTGGCTCAAGTGGTACAGTGCTTGCCTTGAGCTGAAGAGCTGAGGGACAGCACCTAGGCCCAGAATTCAAGCCCTTTGACCAAAACAAGCAAACAACAACTAAAACAGCACAACTGCCTATCAACAATCAAATGAATAAAGTGTAAAATAAATTGTTATGTGTACTAGTGCTACATAGCAATGAAAATGAATTACAGTCTAGTGAAATATGAATGATATACATGATGTTCAACAAAATGGACACAAAAGACATATACTGCATGATTCCATTTATATGATATTTAAGACATAATTAATATGCAGTGATAAATATCAGAATAATTATCATTGTGAGAATCATTGACTAAGAGGAGCCCGTGAAGATAACTTCTGGCAGTGATAAAGTATGTTCTGTACCTTTAAGTGAGTGCTGTCTACACAAACCAACATTTTTCATTAAGACAAAATTACTTAGGATTTACATACCCTGTTGTATATTTGTTACTTCTCAATGAAAAGATTTTTCTAAATTATCACTGATGGTTGCTTGGGATGAAGTGCTTATTGAAGGAAAAGCTTTAAAAGACAGAATGGAGGCTGCATTCAACTATAGTTATAACAGGGATGGCCCCTAGACCTATGGATTTCTGGACTTCCTCTAGCTGCATTAGAAGGATCACAGAAAGTAAAAAAATAAGCTCACACCTAAGGGTATAGCTCAGCATGCATAAGACTCCTGTGTAAAGGTTCTAGAGTTCTAGGTTCTAGGACCTTAAACTCTTAGTTCAAATTGAAGTCAGAACACCAGAAAGTTTCCATTAGTCTTATAAAGCAATCTTTATTTCTTACAGCTTCAGGGCAGATTTGGATGACAGCGCAGCCACAAAAATGTAAAATGACTGAATTAAAATGTAAACTGAATTTATAGACTTGCCAAGTTTCTTGTATGAAAATCAGAACACTGCTTAGAAAATAGAGGGATCCTCAGATTTGGAATGGCTACATTTGGGTGGACCCAGAGGAAGCTGAAGTCTCAGCTTCCTAAGATTTCTTAGGCAACAGAAACAAAATCCCTACTCTCCTATTTGAGAATATTATCTCTTCTTTCCCAGCAATTCTTAAGAGGCAAGTGGCTTCCAAGGAGACGCCTATTTTGCTCAGGACCCACTTATAGGTTTATTGCCTTGAGAACTCAGACTGGAGTTTGATCTCAGTACATACTAAAAATACTAGTTAAAGTCTATCTATTTTTTTTTTTTTTTTTGGGTCCGGTCGTAGGGCCTGAACTCTGGGCCTGGGCACTGTCCCTCAGCTCTTCAGCTCAAGGCGAGCGCTCTACCACTTGAGCCACAACGCCACTTCCGGCTTTTTTTTCTCTTTGCTTATGTGGTGCTGAGGAATCGAACCCAGGGCCTCAGGCATGCAAGACAAGCACTCTACCACTGAGCCACCTTCTCAGCCCCTCCAAGTCTATCTTGAGGGATGATTCCTGTCCTCTAAGAAAATGGCAAATTTTTGCTAATTCATAGCAACAGAATCCTGAGGGAATGTATATAGGAATTGCTTGTAGTAAGAAACTAAGATACATGGATATAACATTGAATTTCCCCAAATTTTTAATATAGTTATGCTCAGTAGATTTATTTGACAGTAATATTTTGAATATCTTAAAATATGTTAACACTTTGGTAGATTAAATGAAACTTTGACTCAACGATACCCTATGTTCAATTAGGTTAAGGTGCCAGAAAGTTCTTGGAATACCATAAAAATGAAATCATAGATTGCTAATGCTAATTGCTCATATGCACTTCTTCCATGTTTCCCAAGAGAGCCCAATGATACTCCGTTGAGAAATACTCAATAAGTTAATAAAGGAACATCAACATTGCTGAAAAATAAATAGTAATTGATGGTGGAAGATATTGACATTGAGGTGAACTCTGATTTCAAGGCAAACAATTACATTCCAGAGTGACAGAAGATACATGACAGTAACTTGCCAAAGACAAGGTCTGCTAGTCAGATTTAGTGCTCATAAATACTATGTATAAATAGCTTTTGGACCCAATCCCCAAGTCCCATGGTTATGTTTTAATAGGATCCACTTTGTGTAGTGCTCATACTATGGTGGTTTCCCTAATTCCCTGAGTATATAATTAGGATAACCATAATGAACAGTGGGGATTAAACTGACCATCTGAGTGTGTTGACATACATGGATTTTCTTGGAGGTCATGGTGTCCTTAGGTATTAGAATGCCTACTAAATTACCACTGGGTCTGTTTACAGAAAAGCAATAATTATGGAGCCAAAAACATGAGTTGAGGGAGAATCACCCAATTCTCATTCAGAGCTTTTTGTTTGAAGGATGGGATGCAGACATTTTCTACACTAAGTATCAAGGAAAGAAACATTTACCAAACTTGCAGGTACTACAAGGCACTGGCTCGAGTTAATATGAATCTTTGGAATCCCAAAACACACCACGGGACTACTGGTTAATGTTAGGATGTGTGGCTCTCAGGTGATAAATGCTATTTTTGGTCGAAGGTTAATCTCTTGGATTTAGCTATGACTATTTTGGTTCCTGAATATTTCATTAGAACAGACACACTTAACAATTAGCAGAATCTTTATATTTATTCTCCATACTGGGCCACTGAAGACTATTAAGGTAGAAAAGGCCAGTAGAAATTTCTAAATTTGGGGCTAGGAAGGTGGCTCAGTGGTAGAGTGCTTGGCTTGCATGCTTGAGGCCCTGGGTTCAGTTCCTCAGCACAACATAAGCAGAAAAAAAAAAAGCCAGAAGTGGCACTGTGGCTCAAGTGGTAGAGTGCTAGCCTTGAGCTGAAGAGCTGAGGGACAGTGCCCAGGCCCAGAGTTCAGGCCCCATGACCAGACCCAAAAAAAAAGAAATTTCTAAATTTTCCATATTTGCCAGAATGGATACAATACATAAATAAGCAGGTTAAGAAACAATCCCATAGACACTAGATATGAAAATATATAAAAGATATAGAGGAAGCTATCCCATTGTGTTCCTTTCTAATTGTCCTGTTTTGTTTATATGAAAGCAGATAGTTCTTTTTGTTGTTGTTGCTGTTCTTGAAGAATATTTATAGATTACTGTGACTGTTCACATCTGCTATTCCAGGTGTGGAATCCTTATTTAGACCAGCTTGGCATAGCCTTTCATTCACAATTATTGGTCTAGCAGGTACTATTTTCTCTGGAACAGTTTACAAGGACCAACAGAAGTTTGATTTTATCTGTCAGAAACAGCAGTTTACTTTCACTGCCTTGCTTTTGGGCTAAGGCAGTTTTCTTCTTCTCTAATATAATCTAGGATCCCAAGACCTTGATTGTGTTAATATATTACAGAATATCATATAGGTTCACTGTCTTGTGATGTCCATCATGGTGATTGCACTTAATGAGCTGGAAGTAACACTGGATGACTTGGTAAAATGCTTATGTGACAGGGAGTAGGGCATAAGATCTGGGATGTAAATACTGCCTTCGTAAAATAGTTTAGCAGTCCAGTGGTTTCAAGGATATCACTATGTCTTATCACTATACAAAAGGCCCGAAAGCTAATTTGGTGCCTTTGACATTTAGAAACAGCCCTATCACATTTGTATGTGCTGTTCTTTGCAGTTAACAGCACATCTGGGAGTTGCTCTGCTGCATTAACTGAGCCATCAGCTGCCAGAGTGAGTTTCACAGCAAGTGAAGCTTTTCTAGGCTTTTCTAGGCTGCAATGCAACATCTCTTCTTTGCCTTGTACCTTGTTTCCCAGAAAATCGTAGGAAATTTGGGGTAAATTGGAATGCTGCAGGAAGGTGCAGTGGAATCACAGTACACAGTTGAGTTCTAGAGCAAAGCCCTGCACTCTAAAGTTTCAGTTCTCCTTTGATAAACAGCTCTATGTGTGTTTACATCTTTTAATTCATACACAGGATTAGTGTACTTTTCTATCTATATGTCATTGTTACTTTTAAAAAAGAAAAATATTCAGATTTTTAAAATTCAGATGGAAGCTGCGTGCTGGTGGCTTATGCCTGGAATCTTAGCTACTCAGAAGGCTGAGATCTGAGAAGCATGGTTCAAAGCCAGCCTGTCACAGCCAGTCTGTGAGACGCTAATCTCTAATTAACCACCAAAACTCCAGAAGTGGAGCTGTGGCTCAAATGGTAGAGTACCAGCTTTGAGTGAAAAAGCTAAAGGACAGCAACCAGGCCCTGAGTTTAAGCCCCAGTACCAGCCCTAAGTAATTAATTAGTTAATATGAATTTTTTTAAATCAGATAAATGAATAACTATTCTTATTTACAAGCATAAAGGCAAGATCCAGCTTTCCTGAATTTGTTGCTGGAGCTTTTATTTACAGGATGATGACTGTGGCGCTGGTGGAAGTAGTAATGGATGGTTCACTTTACATTTTTTTTTTTTTTTTGCAGTACTCTGATTTGAATTCAGGGCTTCAAACTTGCTAAGCAAGTGCTCTACCACTTGAACCACATACCCTTTCTGTTTTTAGCTGGGGTTTCACACTTCTGCCTTGGGCCAGTCTCAGACTGCTATCCTACCAGTGCCTCCCTAAGAGCTGGAATTATGGTAACATACCTAACATGTCATTTGAAATAAAGTCTTGCTAACATTTATTGTCCAGGCTAGCCTCAAACTGTGATCCTCTTATCCCAAGTAGCTAGGACTACCAGTGTAAGCCACCACACCTGGCTACATACAAATTTTTTTTAATTTTTTTCCCTTTTAATTTAATTTCTTTATTTTTTATGTGGTACTAAGGAATTGAACCCAGGGCTTCATGCATGCTAGGCCAGCACTCTACCACTAAGCCACATTCCCAGCCCTACATAGAAATCTTAAATCTCCATAACCACTCATTGCAACCTTTTTTCTTAGACGGGGAGTTTGGATCGACAGAGGACTTTGGCTTTGCTGGAATTATTTTATGATCAAAGTCCACAATCATTTAGAAGCTTACTCCGAAACCCCAGACAATGTAAGTACCACTCAAGGAGATGAGCATACTCAAGCCGAAGTGTCACCAGTACATTAAAGTAACACGAAGTCTTTCTACCCTCATGGGATTCCTTCACATAATATCTCTCTTAAGTTATAGTAGCTATAGCTGTATCTATTTGTTCTTCTACAAAATGTATTTTATGTCATGATATATCCACATACATATATGTATGTTTATATATACATTTATGTATGTCTATATATGTATGTATACACACATATATTAATTTATACATTTATATATGTCTCTCTATGTCTATATATACACATATGCAGATATAGATATAAATATATAGGTATGTAGATATAATTACTGGGGCTTGAACTCAGAGCTTTATACTTGCTAGGCAGATGCTTTTCCACCTGGACTATTAACCCTTTCTGTATTGCTTTTTTTTAAGATAGGGTCAGCCTGAACTCTATTCTTCCTATTTGTGCTTCCTTGTATAACTAGGATGGCAGGTACATGCCACTATATCCAGCCATTAGAGCTGAGATGACAGGCATGTGCTGCTACTATGTTCAGACATCAGTTGAGATAGACATTTTTTTTGCTTGGGCTGGCCTTGAACCATGATCTCCCAATATCTGTCTCCCAAATAGCTAGGATAACAGACTTGAAACCTTGAACTAAGCTGATAGATAGATAGATAGATAGATAGATAGATAGATAGATAGATAGATAGATAGATAGATATTGCCAGTCCTAGGGATAGAACTCAGGGCCTGGGCACTGTCCCTGAGCTTCTTTTACTCAAGGCTAGCACTCTACCATTTGAGCCACAGCGCCACTTCCGGCTTTTTTTCTTTTTACTTATGTGGTGCTGGGGAATCGAACCCAGGACCTCCTGCATGCAAGGCCAAGCACTCTACCACTGAGCCACCTTCCCAGCCCCCTGAGATATATTTTCATCATAGTGTAATACTCAAAATCATCATATCAGAACTCAGCTGGACCCAATTTTATATTCACATAAATGAAGACAAGCTTTAATGATAATTTGAATGTTTTGGAAACTAAGTTGATAAGTTTTAATGAAGACAGGCTTTAGTGATAATTTGAATGTTTTGGAAATTAAGTTGATAATGGTTATTACATTTTCAATGCTGAAGTTATAATTCTAAGATTTCTAAGAAAAATATTTCCTTAACCCAATCCTTTTTACTTGTTTATCTTTATTATATGAGAAAATATTCTTTTTATATTCCTACCAAAATAAATGGTATTATAGGTTTTGTTTATATTTTAAGTGGCTAGGTTTTACAAATCATGATACTCCTATGTGTGGTATAGATGGAATAGTCATTAAAATTGTGGATTTCACAATCTCATAGCTTAATCACTGCTTGTTTTGAAAAGGAGGGAGACAGTTTCATGGCATGAATCCCATTCTCTGTAGCCCTAGACATTGTAAGGTGTGTGTTTGCTTGCTTGTTTGGGGCTTTTTTCAGACAGGCTCTCTCTATGTAGCTTGGCTGGCATCAGATTATTCTCCTGCCTCAGCTTGAGTGTGGGAAACATAGGCAAGTACCACCACAACACCATATTTTAACATTAGGATTCAGGTGAGTACTATCCAATTCATCTTCCTTCCTCCCTCCCTTCTTCCTTCATTCCCTTCCTCTCTCCCTTCCTCCTTCTCTCTCCTTCCTTCCTACCCTCCCTCTTTTTATTCCTTTTTCTCTCCTCTTCTTTCCATCACTTTTTCCTTCTTTGCTTCCCCTGATTTTTCCTTCTTGTACTGGAAGTTGAACTTAAGGCCTTGAATGTACTAAGAACATGATTTACCACTGAGCCTTTCCCTAGAATTCTGATCCTTGTCTCCCACCTAAAGTGTGGAAGAGAAGAATTGAAAACTAAAAAGGAACAGAGGAGAAAAGAAGACAAGGAAAGCAAATACTGGAAACAATATAGTCCCACTGAAATATTGACATTGATAAAGAGTTGTTTTTATTCTATTTATTTTATCTTTAATTTTATCTTTAAGTAGTTGTACAAAGGAGTTGCCATTCAACAAAGCAGTTTATGAATATAGTGTGTCTTGATCAATGTGGCTCCTCTCAACATTTTTACCCAACCCATCCTTTCCCTCACTCTTCTTAATTTTGTAGGCTCTGTGTATTGAACTTTTTTGCCATTTAACAAAGTTGTTTATGTATTTAATGCATCTTGACCTGTGCCATCCTTTCAACATTTTCACTCTCCTTTGGCCCACCCCTTCCATTATTTTTCTTAATTTTGTGGTATATACAATGAATTCTTGACTATATTCTCCCTCCCTTCCCTACTTCATTTATCTACCCCTCTCCTCTTCACCCCACCTCTTTTTGTAAGGACCCATTTCCTGGTACTTATTTTGTTGGGCTTTTACTTAATCTTTCTAAATAATTATACTATTTGAGCTCTTTAAAGAGTCTCTTATACTTGAGTTGATTCATTTGTAGCCACTTGCAAACCACCCAATGTGTTTACTTATAGATTAATAGGCACATTCTAGCTCCCACAAATGAAGGAAACCATACAACCTTTATTTTTCTGGGTCTGGCTTACTTCACTTAATATAATTTTTTCCAAATCTCTCCATTTCCTTACAAATGGTACAATAGCATTCTTTCTAATGGATGAGTAAAATTCCATTATATGAATATTATATATATGTATGTATATATGTATACATATGTGTATATATGTGTTTGTGTATATATATATATCACATTTTCTTGATCCATTCATCCATTGAGAAGTCTCTGGGCTGATATTGAAAATTATTTGAGGGGCTGGGAAGGTGGCTCAGTGGTAGAGTGCTTGCCTTGCATGCCTGAGTCCCTGGGTTCGATTCCTCAGCACCACATAAGCAAAAAAGAAAAAAGCCGGAAGTGGCGCTCAAGTGGTAGAGCACTAGCCTTGAGCTGAAGAGCTGAGGGACATTGCCCTGGCCCAGAGTTCAGACCCCACGACCGGACCCAAAAAAAAAATGAAAATTATTTGAGATGATAAAATGAATCCCTTTCTCTACCTCTATGCCATGTCTATTGTGAGTGGACCACAAAGATAGAGGACAAATTATTTGCATTGGCAGTCTAAACAGCACGCCAACTAGCAAAAGAAGAAATATATTATTTCCAAAACTGTTAATTTATAATAGCAAGCATTTAAAAAATATTTGTGTGAGAGTACTTTATTTTTGCTTTTTATGGTGTCACAGAAAAAGTAATTGATGTTTATTCAAAGTAATAGATTTAATATTACAATAAGTGTCTTCAATGCTTTACATTAATTTGATAGCTTTGATTCTATACTATAAGATCCATTGTTAGCCAGGCACTGGTGGCTAATGGCTGTAAATCCTAGCTACTCAGGAAGCTGGGATCTGAGGATAGCAGTTCAAAGCCAGTCTATGAGACTCTTATTTCCAATTAATCATCAAGAAGTTGGAAGTGGTACTATAGCTCAAGTGGTAGAGTTTAGCCTTGAGCACAAAAGCTCAGGGACAGTGCCCAGGCCCTGAGTTCAAGCCCAAAGATTAGCATGCCCCTCCCCCCCACGCACACACAGATTCATTGTTTAGGCAAATGTTTTGTTTTCTACATTAGGGCCAATCCTTGAATTTGAAGAAATAGACCTTATTGAATTCTGGGGAGACATGGATAATCAGAAACATATTTATGAAGATTTTGATAAGGTATTCTTACAAATGAATGCATTACTTGCTGAAAAAGAAGCTGCAAAAGCTCGAAGTAAATTATTAGAAAATCCAGAAGATCAGCAAAAAGATGACAAACCCAGAATATCATCACCACCAGGAGAGAAGAGTGAGATGGGTACAGAACCTGAGTCACTAGGAATTTCAGTGGAAGAACAAGGAAAAGAGCCAACTGCAAAGGAAGAATTTTTCACAGAGTCAACTCCAGAACAAGAAACCCCTACAGAACAAGAAATCCACACAGAGTCAACTCCAGAAGAAGAAATTCCTTCAGAACCAAAACTAAATAAAGAGTTAGAAGAGCAAAGACACCACAGAGGGTCAACTGGAGGGAAAGGACAACGCAAAGGGTCAAGAGCAGGATTACGCAGAATGTCAGTTTCAGGGCAAAGACAGAGCAGAGGATCAGTTTCCCAGCAAGGTTCAATAGACCAAGAACTACATCCAGACTCAATTGCAGAACAAGACTCAGAAAGAGAATCAATACCGGAACAACAATCACATGGAGGGTCTAATACAGAGCAAGAGTCACCCCGAGACTCAATTTCAGAGCAAAGGTCACCCCGAGAATCATTTTCAGAAGGACAGCGTAAACGGTCAATATCACGACAAAGATCACGTAAATCATCAATTTCAGAACAAGGACCACGAAGAGGATCAATTCTAGAACAAGGGCAACGCAGAGGTTCATTAGCCCAAGATCAGCGCAAAGGGTCATTATCAGGACAAAAATCACACAGAATGTCACTTACAGAATATGAACCAGAGTCAATAATAGAAGAGTCAGAACAAGAACCAGTGAGAGAAACAATTCCTGAGACCGCATTACTGGGGGACAGAGATGAAGAAGCAGTTGACAGTTCTGCAGTGGCCACATCAAGTAAAAAAGATCTTGTTGCAGGTAGTACTTCAGTTGTCCTACAATATCAGTTTCCTGAAGTTTTCTGAGAGAGAGAGAGAGAGAGAGAGAGAGAGATCTGGGGCTTGAAGTTGGCCTGGGTGTTGTCACTGAGTGTTTTGGCTCGCAACTAGTATTTAGCCCTTAGCCATAGCTCCACTTCTGGCTTTTTTGGTGGTTAATTGGAAATAAGGGTCTCACAGACTTTCCTGACCTGGTTGGCTTGGAACCCAAATCCTCAGATCTCTGCCTCCTATTTAGCCAATATTACAGGCATGAGCCACAGGTGCCAGCTCGGCTTCCTGTTTTATAGAATAGTTTATAATGTCTGTTCAGAAAACACTCATTGAAATTAATATCTTTTCTGTTACCTAAAATTCAGATACCTTTTGGCATTTTACATTTAGTCTAGACCTTAAACAATCAGCAAACCTGAATATATCTATTGTCAATTTACTTAGAATTTTATTTTTAGTTCATTAGTGAGGAAGAGATTTAGCAGCACTATAAATAGAAGCATCTTCATTGGGCCTTTGGAAAGGAAAAAGCATTTTGTTTTAAATTTGTAGTTTCTAATGTCAGAAACTACATTCAAACTTTATTTTACTTCAGGACTGGGAAGGTGGCTCAGTGATAGAGCGCTTGCCTTGCATGCATGAGGCCCTGGGTTCAATTCCTCAGCACCACATAAGCAAAAAGAAAAAAGCCAGAAGTGGCTCTGTGGCTCAAGTGGTAGAGCACTAGCCTTGAGCTGAAGAGCTGAGGGACAGCGCCCAGGCCCAGAGTTCAGGCCCCACGACCGGACCCCCCCCAAAAAAAAAAACAACAACTTTATTTTACTTCAACTGCAAGATGGGTCCTGCCTTCTTTCTGTGTTTTATGATTTTCTCCTAGAAGTGTTTCTGAAAGTTGTATTTCAGACAGAAAACACTTTACATTTCAAATGTTTATTTCAAATGAACAGAATTTAGGAATATAGTAATACTTTGCATTACATGGTCAAATTCAGGTTAAAAAATAGCTTTTAACGCAGTTACTTTCAGCAATTAAAAGGAAGTACCTAGGGTTTTTGAGGTTCCATATGAAAGTGTTTTCTTACATTCATTAACTTCTGAATACAAAATATGATATGTTAATGATATTATAATAGTAATAGTAATAAATATGCATTATGGTTGATCCATAGCATTTTCTCTTGTACAACTTAGAACCTTCAAAAACCAGCATTCAGAAGGACAAAGCCTGTGAACCAAAGTCCCAGAAAATAGAAGGAAAGACATGGAAAGGTAATTGGTCATTTAAAAAACAACCAAAAATCTTCCTTTTGTTTATATCTTGGAGCAAAAGCATTGCAAAAGTGAAGTTAACTTGACTTTGTTGTAAAATGTGTTTTTCACAGGTGAATTTCTTACCTGTAACTGGAAAACACAGTATATCAAATTTGAAGATGAGGAACAGGCAAACTTAATCTATGCTAACGCCAGGTTCACAGGTACATGTTAAGAAAAAAATCAGAAGCATAAAGGCAATCCAATAGATGGCTTTAATATGCTAGATTTATGCCTGAAGTACTTGGAAATCCGTGAGGACTTTCTCATAGGTTTCTGTGACCCAGACACGGACTTAAGGTGATAATAGTATTTGCTAATCTGTTTATAGCTGGCTTCAGGTTCAACTGGGTCCCACTATAGCAGGATACTGTCTTGGCTTCTCAGCCCTGTTTCCTGGTATCACTTACCATTTTAGGCATTTTTCCCCCATGTGGTTTCAAAAATGTCCACAAGAGCATTTTTAACGTTATATTCTACCATTTCAACAGAGTGAAAAAAGAAAAAAGATTTTTCCTGATTGTTGCCCCCAAAGTTCTGGGATAACAATCATCTGGGTTACACTGCTGTCATATATGAATCTTTAGCCAGAACTTATATCACACATCCATGGAAGAATGGTGGAGAAGATTCAGTACCACCTGCTTTCCTAAACTGACAGTGGGGAAAAATGTTCTCCCAAAGAGAAGAGATGGATGTTGTTCTCAAAAAGGGAACATATGTTTATGACAGGTAAAAATATTAGATGTTGGGGCTGGGAATTTTGCTCAGTGTTAGAGCAATGCCTACTATATACAAAGGCCTGTATCCAAATCGACCACCAAATTCAAAAATGTTAAAACAGCAAAAGCACATGCGTATTACACGGGTACTATTTTGCTTTCTCTAAGATTTGAAAGAATTCCTTGATGTATGTTTCCTGCTTCACAGACTTACATTCAATTATCAGAAATATTCTGTCCTACAAGGAACTAAAAGGCAGGAGTGCCTTCAATGGAGTTTCCTTAAATCTGATCCAGTTTGTCCAATTCCTGGAGACATTCGTTGGAGAAGATACTCAGCTGAGTGTCAGTGAGAGCCTCGTCTCTTTTTTTAAGAAAAACTATGTAGAAACAGAAGAAGAGAAAATTAATGCCTTAGAACAGGTGGGTAATATATTTATCAATGAAACAAGTGAAGTCATTTTTATAAGTAAATCTCTGAACTTTAGTTGCTCTTCCATCCTGCTCAGGCACACATTTGAACTATGCTTTTCTATTTCAAGCTATCCATCATAGCTAGTACATGCCAGAAGCCCTCTACTGCACACAGCTGACTGTTGAGAAGAGGGGTCTCATGAACTTTTCTTCTTGAGCTTGTCTTAAACAGAGGTCCTCCTGATCTAAGCCTCTGGCACCTGGCAAAATAAAGACAGAGAGACAGAGAGAGAGAGAGACAGAGACAGAGACAGAGAGACAGAGAGAGAGACTTTTTAACACAGCCACTTTTCATTGTTTGAACATTACTATTAAATTTCTATGTTTTGCACATTTTTCTTGAATAATCAGGATGAAATGGGAAAAAATTAATCAGAGATTGTCAAGGAGTATAGTACCCTTCCAAAGCTAATGTATTTTAATCCACTGCAAAGACCTACTGGGCATGTTTGGCTGAGAGATGAAACAGAAATGCATTCTCCACTAATATAATCCTTAGCCCCAAAGCAAAGCTGTGTCTACTTAAAAAATTCTTCAAGCCAGGTGCTAATGGCCCATGCCTGTAATCCTAGCTACTCAGGAGGCTGAGATCTGAGGATTGCAATTCAAAGCCAGCCTGGGCAGGAAAGTCCATGAGACTCTTATCTCCATTAAACCACTCAGAAAACAGAAGTGTAGCTGTGGCTTAAGTGGTAGAGTGCTAGCGTTGAGCTGAAGAACTGAGGGATAGCACCCAGGCCCAGAGTTCAAGACCCATGACTGACCAAAAAAAAAAAAAAAATAGCTTCACTGTTTAAAAAAAATAAACACAGATGCTAGCTATCACAATGAACATGGTGTCTTCTATTGTCTTGTTTTTATCCTAGATTAGGCACAATGCTTTTCAAATCCGACAAGGACTTCTTCTAGAAGCACTCTTTCAGAAGTGGGACAGTAATTGCTCAGGCTTTTTGGATCTGAAGGAAGTTGATGAAATCTTGTACACATACAAGGAGGGAATGGAAAAAGAATCTATGAAGAAAGGTAAACTGCATGAATGTTCCTATTCAAGTTGTGATAACAAGTTGCCTTTTAAGTTTCCCAATACTATGACACAAGTGCAGTTAAAAATTCATGAGTTCTACTCTGTACAGTATGTTCACAAATAAAATAAAATTAAATAAAAAAAAAGAATTATTGAAAACTTATTAAAAATAAATAACTAATGTTAATATTCAAAATAAAAAAAATTCATGAGTTCTAAAACAATCAAGTACTACTTAACACCTACTAATATGGTTGTAATTTTTAAATGGAAAACAAGTGTCAGCAAGGATATGGTAAAATGGAAATCATCATGTATTAGCCAATGGGAATTGATAAATGAGTGGAATACTTTTGCAGTTTTGTCCAAGAGCCTAACTTTACATAGATTCTTTCTGTACACATGGCTGCCCTCCTTTTTTAGGTTAAAAGAACTTAAACATGTAACATTTCTTCCTGGTTGTTTATATTCCTTCACAAGGTCTGAACAACCCCTTGTGTCAACTGGCTCATTTTCCACTCTTATTCTCCTCAATGACTTTTTCCCCTCCTAAGACCTAATTTTTCCTTTGTAACTAGTATAAAATTATTTCTATTCTAGCCCAGCACCAGTGGCTCATGCCTTTATCCTAGCTACTCAAGAGACTGAGATGTGAGAATCACAGTTAAAAGCCAGACTGGGCAGGAAAGTCTGTGAGACTCTTTATTTCCAATTAACCAGCAAAATTTGGAAGTGGAGACATGGCTTGAGTGGTAGAGTGCTAGTCTTGAGCACAAAAGATCAGGGACAGTGCTTAGGCCCTGATTTCAAATCCCAGTACAAGGGAAGAAAAAGGAAGAAAGGAAGGAAGGAAGGAAGGAAGGAAGGAAAGAAGGAAGGAAGGAGGAAGGAAAGGAAGGAAGGGAAGGAAGAGAGAGGAAGAAAGGGAGAAAGAAAGGAATAAAGAGAGAATGAAAGGAAGGAAGAAAAAGAGAGGAAGAAAGAAGAAAGAAGGAAAGAGAAAGACTAAAATCTATGATTTGATAACATTTTCTTTTATTTATTTATATTTTCATTGTGAACATACTGTACCAGAGGGGTTACAATTACATGGGCAAGATAATGAGTACATTTCCTACCAAGCATTGTAGCCTCCTCCTTTGTTTACCCTTCACATCCTTTCCCAGCCTCCCCCCGCCCCCCCCAATCCTCCCCCCCCCATCAAAGTTGTAAAGTTCGTTTTCGACATGACAACTTGTACTTCTCATTGCTGCAACAGGTCCACCTGTATCCTTATTTAAACGGCTTGTTTTTCCCTTCCCCTCCACAAATTATACCTACATCAAATACAATGAAAGCAGGGGTTATACTTGGGGGAGGGACATACAAAGCAACAAAGAAATAATCTTATAAATGCATTAGAAACAAATGCATGAAAGAAAAAAACATTTGAATACATATCTTAGGGTTCATTTTCCTAACATCACCTTATCTGACCTTTTCTGCTTGACTCATACATATATTAGATATTGCAAATAAGGGAAACCATGGGACCTATGTTTCTTTGGGCTTGGCTTACTTCACTTAATATAATTTTTTCCAAGTAAGTTTGCAAACAGGAAAAAACTAAGCTATATATTATTTAGAAGAATGTATGTGCAATACATGTATTTTTGTATAATGATAACACTGTTGGAGAGAAAGCCAAATTTCAGGATATTTGTAGATTGTGTGAGGAGGAGGGTAAGGCATGGAAGGTATAACTTACTGGTAATGTTCAGGTTTGATAATAAATTTAATATTGCACAATTTAAAAAAAGAAACATCTCCAACATGTGTATGAGAGAGAGAGGGGAGATAGAGAGGGGGAACTATGCGAGGCCTGATCAGGGATCATGAGTAGAATGAGGATACAAGAGCAAATAATTTTTATATGGTATAAGGAGCAGATATGATTGAAAACAGACTAGATAAAAATATGGTAAGATCTGAACCAGGGAATTGTGTAATGCAAATTGTTTGTGGGTTTTTGTTGTTAGCCTCTACCAAGGGGTTATATTTTGGGGCTTGAACTCAAAGTCTCTTCTCATTTGGCTTTTTCACTAAGAGCTGACACTCTACTACTTGAGCCACAAATCCGCTTCTGGCTTTTTGCTGGTTAATTAGAGATAAGAATTTCAGAGGGGCAGAGAAGGTGGCTCAGCGGTAGAGTGCTTGCCTCACATGCATGAGGCCCTGGGTTTGATTCCTCAGCACCACATAAATAGGAAAGGCTGGAAGTGGCACTATGGCTCAAGTGGTAAAGTGCTAGCCTTAAGGTAAAGAGCTCAGGAACAGGGCCCAGGCCTAGAGTTCAAGCCCCATGACCGACAAAAAAAAGAAAGAAAAAGAAAAAGAATTTCACAGACTTTCTTCCAGAGCTCACTTCTAACCACCATGGTCTTCAGATCTCAGCCTCTTGAACAGATAGAATTACAGGCATGAGGTATGATGCAATGACACCAGTGCCAATGCTTGAACCCAGGGATTCACATTAGCTTAGCTGGCCCCTTACTATTTGAGCCATGTATCCAGTCTAGCTTTTTCCAGTTATTTTGGAGATATGGAGTCTTTTGTATATGTGTGCCAGTATTGGAGCCTTACACTCTCAGTCAGCACTTTCATTCATGGCTGGCACTCTACTTCTTGAGCCATACTTCTAGTCTGGCATTTTGCTGATTAATTGGAGATAGCTTTTGCAGACTTCTGTCCAAGCTGGCTTCAAACTGAGATCCTCAGATATCAGGACCCAGCTAAATTGTGGGATTATTATTATTATTATTGTAAACAATGTACGAAGTGATTTCACTGTGATAGTTCTATATATGCATATAGGGTATTATATATGCATATAGGGTATTATTCTATTACTTTTTCTTACCCCCTTCCATGTTGTTCTTTAATTTTATAAACATGTGCTTCACATTAGTCTACTAATTCAATTACAGTGATAAAAGCTAGCTTGGGGTCATAAAGATAAAAATTGAAAGGAAAGGCCGCAAAATACAGTGCCAAAAAAAAAACCAATCCAGGACAGGGCTGGGAATGTGGCTTAGTGGTAGAGTGCTTGCCTAACACGCATGTAGCCCTGCATTTGAGTCCTCAGTGCGATATAAACAGAAAAGGCTGGAAGTGGCACTATGACTCAAGTGCTAGAGCTCTAGCCTTGAGCACAGAGAGGCTCAGAGACAGAGCCCAGGCCTTGAGTTCGAGCCTCAGGACTGGCAAAACAAAAACAAAAATAACAGGACAGATTAGGTGGTTTGTTGACTATGGACAGGCTGGAGTTTCACCAGGTAGAGTGGTAGAATTAGAACAAAATACATGGAAGATGACATTGAACAGGAGTCACATTGAGTTTAGTGTAGGAAGTCAATACAAAATACTTTGGGCTCAGAGATGCCTTTAGTATACATGTTTTTCACAGAAAGCAGTTAAGGGAATCTCTCCCATGAATGAATGAACTTTTTGTGTCTTCTTGATTTTACATTTGTGTCTTTAGCAAAACTACACATCCAGTTTCCAGAATCACGCCCTGATCAAGAGGTGAAGTTGTCTTCAAAACAATTTCAGAAATACATAGAATTAGTTGTCTCTGAGCTCACGGGCAATGAAGATGAAGTTCTAGAAAATGTTGTAGAATTCCTAATGGATAATTTAGAGAAGAACCATATTGAAGGTCTGAGAAATTTTGCAAGACGAAAATGGCTACATCAAATCCAATTTGCTGCAGAGACAAGTGGGGTATCCTTGGAGCCTGTGTACACTGAGACCTTTAAAGTCCTCACCCAGGTATTTCTTCTAAAGTGATAAATAGGAGAAAGATTTCCTCAAAGTAGGAGGGGCATATGCAATTCGATCAAAAAAATTACTAAGTATTGCTATAAACTTTGTATTCACTGTCAATGCATTACAGCTGACAAAACCTTAAGTGAAATGCACAACTGGAACATTTGCTGGTTGGCAAGTAAGAAGCAGGAGAGTAAAGGTAAAAAAGAAAAATGTGGAGAAGATGCTTGGGAATTTCTGTCTTGCTTATTGGAATCATCTCCTTAATGTCTGAATTTCCCAAGATTAGAAATGTTGGAAATGGTGCCATCAGGACCAGGAGACTACTCAAGAAAAAGAGCTTTGATTCTAAGTTGCTTCAGAGACCTATGGCACTCTAAGAGATACCATATTATGTATTTGTTAATTACTCTATAAATCTCTGAAGAATAAAGGCAAAAGGCAAAGAAAGCCATGGGGGAAAAAAAAACAGGCATTGGTAGTGCATGCCAGTAATCTTAGCTACTCAGGAGGCTCAGGAAGGGAAAGAAGAAAGGGAGGAAGGGAGGAAGGAAGGAAGGAAGGAAGGAAGGAAGGGAGGGAGGGAGGGAGGGAGGGAGGGAAGGGAGGGAGGGAGGGAGGGAGGAGGAAAGAAATGGGAAGGGAAGGAAGGAAAGAAAGAACGAAGGAACCAAGGGAGGGAGGGAGGGAGGGAGAGACAAAAAGAAAGAAAGGAGGGAGGGAAGGAGACGGAGAAAGGAAGAGAAAGAAAACTCAAACATATAGAAATAGACAAGTATCAAGGAAAGTGTCTTTTATTCTTAATTTATGGATATAGTCAACATGTATTAATACATATTATTGCTAATAACTTAATATTTAAGTATGGGGATCTTCAGTATCTTAATAAGAGAAAGTCATTTCAGAAAGTTTGCAAAATGACAAGTCAGAAAGGCTACAAGAAATCCTTTTCTGAATCGACATAGATTGAATATCCAAACTATCTTCATAGCTCTTTGGGAGTATGTTTTTTTCATATTCACAGACTGAGATGATCAAGAGATGAGTGAAGAAGGCATCTTCCTTCTTCAGCTCTCTCAGATCAATACTTCTCACTGAAACCCGGAACATAGGATGGTAGTTCAAAGGAATCTAAAAGTTTAACTTCTAGATTTAATTATACTTGAGAGGTTTGTTTTAGTTGAGTTTGATGTTTGTTAAAGCAGTCTAGATGAATAGAGGAAATACATTCCACTCAGGTTTGGAGAATAATTATGGGATACTATCTACATCAGTTATTCAATTAAAAAAAATTATGGGTGATAAGTTCCCAAGTGAAGAGGGGTTAGGAGAATGCTTAGCTATTGGCAAATATATGGTCAGAAACATTTTGCCACAGGACGCTGAAGCCCACGGAAATAAGAAGATCAGTGCTCACATTTCCCTCTTAGAAGAAAATGTGCTACTGCCATCTAGAGGAAAGGTTCTCTTGAGGAATGTGGCTTGTACTCTAGATGATGCTCCCTTTGTACTGAACAAAGTACTCTACCGGGACATGAAGGGAATCAGGTAAGAACACATTGCCCAGGTTGGCTTCATGCTTCCAAAAAACTATTTTTGGAATATTAATTTTGAAATAATAATTCCTCTCTTGAAGCAAACTAGCATCCAAATCCCAGTAAGCTGCTTCAATAAAGAAATACCTGAAGCCAGGCGCTGGTGGCTCACGCCTGTAATCCTAGCTACTCAGGAGGCTGAGATCTGAGGATCGCGGTTCAAAGCCAGCCCAGGCAGGAGAGACTGTGAGACTCCTATCTCCAATAAACCACCAGAAAACCGGAAGTGGCGCTGTAGCTCAAGTGGTAGAGCACTCGCCTGGAGCTGAAGAGCTGAGGGACAGCACCAAGGCCCAGAGTTCAAGCCCCACAACCGACAAAAAAAAAAAAAAAAAATACCTGGGCTGGGAAGGTGGCTGGGTAGTAGAGTGCTTGCCTTGCATGCATGAGGCACTGGGTTTGATTTCTCAGCACCACATAAGCAGAAAAAGCTGGAAGTGGCACTGTGGCTCAATTGGTAGAGCACTAGACTTGAGCTGAATAGCTGAGGGACAGCACCCAGTCCCAGAGTTCAGGCCCCATGACTGGCAAAAAAGAAAAAAGAAAAAAGAAATGCCTGAGCTTGACATTGGTAGCTCATGCCTGTAATCCTAGCTACTCAAGAGGCTGAAATCTGAGGATCGTGGTTCAAAGCCAGCCTGGGCACGAAAGTCCGTGAGATTCTGATCTCCAATTAACCACCAGAAAACCAGAAGTAGCTGTGGCTTAAGTGGTAGAGCACTAGCCTTGAGTGAAAAAGCTCAGGTACAGCACCAACTCCCAGAGTTCAACTGACAAAAAAATGAAAACAAAAAAAAGAAAAGAAATGTCTCAAGTTACCAGTGTTTCTACAGTGCTTCTACAATATCAACTCAGTACATTAGATCTCATATATCTGGATTATATAGGTCTCTTTTGTTAAAAGCTAAAATGTGGTTGGTGAAGAAAATAGGATTGATCCTAGGGCCTCACACATTCCAGGTCAGTGCTCTACCATTGAGCTACCCAGCTTTAGGATTGTTTTGTAAAATCTTTCCCTTAAGTCAGGCCCTCCAAACTGGTAATCTTATCTGAATTTGGCTTCTCTTACATATACACCCAAGATTGTGGATCAAGAATTGGTCTAATTTAAAGCCTTCCTCTGTGCCTTTCCCCATCTTTCTATCCTTCTCCTCAGCTTTACAGTTGTGGATGAAGGCATACCAATCCATGTGCCCCAAGTTCAGTATCATGGGAACATCTTCTTCTGGAACAATACCCGCAAAAAGGATGAATATAATGGGTCCTTCCTGGCTCTGCCTCTTCAGGATGTCTATATGAGAATCTTTGGCGTCTTGGCTATTGATACTCTTAGAGATCCTAATGAAATAAACATCTTCCTTCCTCATGAGATCAAGTTCTATCAAGTAAGTAAATCATAGAATTCTTCAATAACAATAATAATACAGTCTCTTCTTCTATAATTCAGAAATGAATGCCAATGCCAGACAGTAAGGTTGTATATATAGACAATATCTTCATGCACTCTCCTGTTCCCTGTCAGTCTTTAGAAAGATTTCCCCATTTCTTATGGAAGGACTCAGCCTTAATTGCACATCCAAGCTCCAGAGTCTTTTGGAATATTGTTAGTATGTGTCTCACAGCATTAATTATAGGAATCAAATTTGATGCTATGAAATAGATCCAATAATTAAACAACTAAGACCCACGAAGTAAATTACCCTTAGAAAGGATATACTAAGTTTCATGGTTCAAAGCCAGCCTGGGTAGGAAAGTCGGTGAGACGCTTGTCTCCACCAGAAAACTAGAAGTGGTGCTGTGGCTCAAGTGGTAGAGCGCTCACCTTGAGCTGAAGAGCTCAGGGACAGCGCTCAGGCACAGAGTTCAAGCCCCACGACCAACCAAAAAAAAAAAAATATTCTCATGTCAAATGAATATGAGAGTAAGATATTGCAGAGAAGATTGAAGGAGTATGGAGTTGTAAGTGGGTAAACTATGTATGGTCTCATCAGTGAGCATATCCAGATAAATTATAAATCAGCTCTCTTGCGCTGGAAGATCAAGGCTCTTGAGTTATCCTTAGATGGCTTGAGTCACAAATACATATGTATGCATGCATATATGTATATACATTCATACACATGTGTGTGAATGTGTGAATAAAATTTTGAAGAATTTATGGTTCCTAGAGTTTCTTAACAAGATTACAGATGGACTTTATGGACTGCCCATCCATTCTCTGAAACAACATCTCTGTTGTGTTTTGTGAAACAAGGTTTTATTATGCAACTTTGGCTGCCTGGAACTTGCTATGTAGCCCAAGCTGACCTTGATTTTGTTATCCTACTCTCTCAGTCTCTTGGGTACTGGCCTTATAGGCATTTGCCAGCATCCCCAGACCTGAAACAAGGTGTCTTTTTGCATATAGGAACAACAGTAACTAGCCTGTTGCAGTCCTTCATAGCAAGCATATCCTGTACTGTTGATCTTATAACAATAGCTATAGATGCAAAAATTAATAAGGGCAACAGATCAGGGTAATTTCTACCCACCTACCCAGGCCTGAAATCTTGACTTCCAAGAACATTTTCCCCCCTCGCACCTCTAATGTTAGCTACTCAGGAGGCTAAGATCTGAGGATTGTGGTTTGAAGCCAGCCCAAGCAGGAAAGTCCATGAGACTCTTATCTCCAATTAACCACCAAGAAACCAGAAGTGGAGCTGTGGCTCAAGTGGAAGAGTGGCATTCTTGAGCAAAAAAGCTGAGGGACAGTGCCTAGACCCAGTTCAAGCCCCAGTTCTGTCATAGACACACAATTTTTTTTCTTCAGATTCTATGCTCTGATAGTACATGACACAAACTTCACTGAATGACTATCATGAAGCATAAAATGTTATGTGGACTTGTATACCTTTTATTTCTTGATGACCCTTTTTTTGTGTTTGCACTGTAGAGTCTGGAATATTACCTTTTTTTGCCAGTCCTGGGGCTTGAACTCAGGGCCTGGGCACTTGAGCTTCTTTTTGCTTAAGATTGCTACTCTTCCACTTGAGCCACAGTGCCACTTCAGACTTTTTCTGTTTATGTGGTACTGACTAATTGAACCCAGGGCTTCATGCATGCTAGGCAAGCACTCTACCACTAAGCCACATTCCCGGCCCATAATGAATATTTTAATAGACTCTCCAGTCCTGGAATATTACCTTTTAAGAACTGATTCAAACTAAATTGTAGGTAGTAGATTATAATGAATTTAAAGGATAATTTGACTATTGCATTACTAATTACCTTTCTATCTTAAGAAGAAAATGCAATATGAATCTTTTGTCTTCACAGGGTGTTGCCAAAGTCTTTAGCTCTGCCTATCACTATGTTCACAACCGGGAGCACATCTTACACACTGTCATCACTGGCATCCACTGGCTCTATAACCAAACAGTTGGTATCATCTCCATCACTACATACTTTGTTGAACCTAGTCCAGAACAGGTAGGCAAAGCTAGGAATTATTACACCTCTTTTTTTTTTTTTTTTTGTCGGTCGTGGGGCTTGAACTCTGGGCCTGGGCGCTGTCCCTCAGCTCTTCAGCTCAAGGCGAGCGCTCTACCACTTGAGCTACAGCGCCACTTCCGGTTTTCTGGTGGTTTATTGGAGATAGGAGTCTCACGGTCTCTCCTGCCCGGGCTGGCTTTGAACCATGATCCTCAGATCTCAGCCTCCTGAGTAGCTAGGATTACAGGCTTGAGCCACCAGAGCCCGGCTTATTACACCTCTTTGATGGAACAGAGTTCCTAGCAGCAAATGTCTTCTTAACTTAGGCTGGGCACCTGTGGCTCACATCTACAATCCTATTTATTTAGGAGGTTGACATCTGAGGATCAAGTTTTGAAGCCAACCCCTTCAGAAAAATCTGAGAGACTCTATCTCTAATTAGCAAAAATGCTGGACTGAGACAGGGCTCAAATGGTAAAGTGCTGACTGTGAGCAAAAAAAGTTAAGCCCTGAGTTCAAGTCCCAGTTCCAGCATGAATATGTATTAGGGAATGTGACTCAGTGATTAAAGTACTTACCTATACCGTGCTAATGGGCCTAGGTTTGAGTTCTAGTAGTGCAACAAACAAGCAAACAAAATTGCCAACAAAGGGCATATTTCAAATAAGCACAACCTCAAACCCTTGTCTATAATAGGAATCTATCTCAAATTGCCTGAGACAGAAGGGAGAGGTGACTGGTCACCAAAAGGAAGAAAGAGCAACAGTCAAATTGGCATCTAGGATGATCAGATATGGGGATTCAATACCATTAGGGCTCTTGGTGGGGTTTTTGTTTTGTTTTGTTTGGAGCAGTACTAGGAATTGAATTCTGGGCCTTATGTTTGCTAGTCATACCTCCAGTCCCTTTTTCCATTGGTTATTTCAAGGTAGTGTCTTGCTCTGTGCTTCCCCAGTTTTGCTTATGATGGCAAGTGCACACCACAGCACCCAGCCATCATACTTGCCCCCGTAGCTAGAATAATAGGTGTATGCTACTGTGCCCAACCTTTGGTGGAATGGATCCACTTATGTCTGTTTTCCAGTCTGCTCTTTGCCTCAAAATGCAGACAGCATGATTTGACCAGTGAAAGCCACCAACAGGAAACTAGAGGGAAGTATTGAGTCTGCAGGGTTTATGCTTCAGGCTGCCTGTCTGTCAGGTTGCAGTAGGCTGGCTATATTTCTCTTGTAAAGGCTACTTCACCTTGTGTTAGATGCCATGACTCCTGATAACTCCCCGTATAGCTATCCTCTCTAGGTTCTGGACATTGCTCCCTCCCCTTGTCTCAAGAGACTCATGGTGGTACAGCTTTCCATTAAGACTAGGCTTGGATTCTAAAAACTGCTCAAGCCTTCATAAATAGTACCTGTATAAAGTCACTGAGTTCTGGCATACCATCTTTTTTTTCCCCTGTCATCCTAACTAACAAAAATTATAAAATGGGTTGGGAATGTGGTTTAGTGGTAGAGTGTTGCCCAGCATGCATGAAGCCTTGGGTTCGATTCCTCAGTACCACATAACAGAAAAAGCCAAAGTGGCACTGTGGCTCAAGTGGTAGAGTGCTAGCCTTGAGCAAAAGAAGCTCAGGGATAGTGCCCAGGCTCTGAGTTCAAGCCTCAGGACTGGCAAAAAAAAAAAGAGATAAGTATATTAAGAGATATTCCACTTCACTTTATGCCCACATTCCCATAAATTATGGAGGAGAAATTTTCACTCTATTGACAACAATTAGAAATAAGACAAATAGAAAAATCAAATTCTCTTAAATATGAAACTCAGGCTATTTTAGTTTAGCACTCCAAACAAAGTTCCTGTGTCTATGATTTTGGAATTATGAGCTTATTGAATAGATAACTATGGTAAGCAGAATAATTGCCCCTCTACCCTCAAAGATGTTATAATTCCTTTTTTAAAAAATAGGTAGTTATTTAATGTCATGGGGGGAAAACACATCATAAAACAAGCTAGTTATAAATAATAGGATAACTTTGCATTTTTTATTTTACTATTTTTTGGGGGGGTCCGGTCATGGGGCCTGAACTCTGGGCCTGGGCACTGTCCCTTAGCTCTTCAGCTCAAGGCTAGCATTCTACACTTGAGCCACAGTGCCACTTCCGGCTTTTTTTTTTCTGTGTATGTGGTACTGAGGAATCGAACCCAGGGCCTCATGCATACAAGGCAAGCACTCTACCACTGAGCCACCTTCCCAGTCTGCATTTTTATTATTTATTGTGCTGATACTGGCATTTGAACATAGGGTCTGGGTGCTGTCCCTTAGGAGTTTTTGTGTTTTGCTTTTTGCTTAAGGATGGTGCTCTCTACCACTTCAGCCATATCTCTACTATCAGCTTTTTGATGGTAAATCAGAGATAAGAGCTTCACAACTTTATTGCCTAGGCTGGCTTCAAACCATAATCCTCAAATCTCAGCCTCCTGAATAGCTAGGATAAATATGAGCCACTAGTGGCTGGCTGCCTTAATGCTTGATAAATATATATATACACACACATATATATGTATATGTATACATACACAAATATGAAACCTGGAATGTTCTATTGTAAGAGATCAACATTGTTGCTTCTGTCCACTGATTATAAATTATATTCTTCCCTTTCCTTCTGTGTGCTTTTTGAAACACAAGTTATTTCTCAACCAAACAAGTTGTACTGAACTAAAAGTTAGTAAATTCCAGAGGTTAGGATCCAATAAGCCAAGCCAGATGCCCAACACATGTCTTGATTCCTGAAATCCCATGAATATTGTCTTCCATGGCAAAATGACTTTGCAAATATGATTAAGGGATCTGAGATCAAGAAATAGCCTGGATTTTCAAGATGAGCCCAATGTAATCATGTGGACTCATAGAAGCAGAGACCCTTCTTTAGCTGTGGTCTCTGGAAAACAGAAAGAGAAGGGTCACAGAGATTGCGAAATTAGAAAGAGTTGACTTCTCATGGCCTTCTCTGAGATGCATGAGGCTATGTATAAAGACTCAAGGTTTCTAGGAGTGAAGAGCAGTCCAGCTAATAGTTAGAAAGGAAATCAAGACTTTAGTCTTTCTTGGGCATTAGTGGCTCACACCTATCTACTCAGTAGGCTGATATCTGAGAATTACAGTTCAAAGCAAGCCTGAGCAGGAAGTCTTTGAGATTCTTATCTCCAATTAACCACCAAAATGCTGGAGGTGGAGCTGTAGCTCAAATGATAGCATGCCAATCTTGAGTGAAAAAGCTAAGGGATAGCACCCTTGTCCTGAGTTCAAGCCCTAGCAGTGGCATGTGTGCGTACATCTGTGCACACGCGCACACACAAAAGCATAGTTGAAAGCCAGCTTAGATAGAAAGTCTGCAAGACTCCATCTCCAATTAACCAGTAAATGCCATACTAGAGATGTGGCTCAAGTGGTAGAACACTGGCTGTGGGTAAGAAAGCTGATGAGAGCACAAGTCCCATCTCTCCACAAAAGAGACTTTAGGTTTTTTATTTCCCTGAGGTATCAAGAGGGACAGTGGTTTGGTATCTTAAGTCATATATGATTTTATTTTCATATGTGACTTTTGAAAACACAAAAATCAAAGGCTAAAAGGCTTTTGATAAGATACAACATTCATTCATGTTAAAAGCCCTGGAGAAACTAGGAATAGAAGGAACATTCCTTAAAACAAGAAAAGCCATATATGACAGACCAATAGCCAATATTATACTTAATGGGGAACAACTACAACCAATTCTCCTAAAATCAGGAACAAGGCAAGGATGCCCATTCTCACCACTCCTCTTCAATATAGTTCTAGAATCCTTAGCCAGAGCAATAAGGCAAGAAAAATACATTAAAGGGATCTGCATAGTGAAGGAAGAAGTTAAAACTATCCCTTTTTGCAGATGACATGATACTATACTTCCATGATCCCAAAAACTCTACTCCCAAACTCTTAGAATTTATAAACCAGGGGTGAAGGGAGGATGGGATGGGAAGGGGAAACAAAGGAGGAGGCTACAATGCTTGATAAGAAATGTACTCATTATCTTGCTCATGTAATTGTAACCCCTCTGTACAGTATTTTCACAATAAAAAAATTAAAAAAAGAACTTATAAACCACTTCAGCAAAGTAGCAGGATACAAAATTAACCCACAAAAATCAGTCACCATGGGGCTGGGAAGGTGGCTCAGTGGTAGAGCGCTTACCTTGCATGCATGAGGCCCTGGGTTTGATTCCTCAGCACCACATAAGCAAAAAGAAAAAAGCCGGAAGGGGCACTGTGGCTCAAGTGGTAGAGTGCTAGCCTTGAACTGAAGAGCTGAGGGACAGTGCCCAGGCCCAGAGTTCAGGCCCCATGACTGGACCAAAAATAAAAAATCAGTCACCATTTTGTACACCAACAATGCACAAGCAGAAAGGGAAATCAAGGAAACAATCCCATTCACAATAACCTCAAAAAGGGCTGGGAAGGTGGCTCAGTGGTAGAGCACTTTCCTTGCATTCATGAGGCCCTGGGTTCGATTCCTCAGCACCACATAAGAAAAAAGAAAAAAGCCAGAAGTGGCGCTGTGGCTCAAGTAGTAGAGCGCTAGCCTTGAGCTGAAGAGCTGAGGGACAGCGTCCAGGCCCAGAGTTCAGGCCCACGACTGGACCCCCAAAATAAAAACAATAACCTCAAAAAATGAAATATTTAGGAATTAACCTAACCAAAGATGTAAAAGTACAATTAATGAAAACTATAAAAACTTAAAGAAAGAAATTATAGAGGACACCAGGAAATGGAAAGACCTTCCATGTTCTTGGATAGGCAGACTTAATATAGTGAAAATGGCCATGCTGCCAAAATTGACATAAAAATTCAATGCAATTCCTATTAAAATCCCAATGACATTCATCACTGAAATACAGAAAACAGTCCAAAAATTCATATAGAACAACAAAAGACCTAGAGTAGCCAAGACAATTCTAGG